TATTAAAGTCACAGACAACAAAAGCAGAATTGAACAAGTGGAACTACATCACAACAAAAAGATTTTGCAAAGCATGGAAAAAATTCCAACCGACAGAATGGGAATATAATTGTAAGTCATGCATCTGAAAAAGTGTTAATATCCACAGTATACATGCAACTTCTACAACTCATTAGCAAAATCATAATCGTCTGATCTTAAAATGGTCAGTTTTATACCTTAAAAAAATTATGAACTTAGATCTCATGTCAAAGATTCTTCCCTCTGGGTAATGGAAAGTTTTATGGTACACTCGATTAGGGTAGACTTTGTAGTTATTCAATCCAAAATTAATATATGTGGTGTTATCCTGGTGCAGTGGCTGACACCTGTAATCCCAGCACTTTGAAAGGCTGAGTTGGTACCAGTACCATGCTGTTTTGGTTACTGTAGCCTTGTAGTATAGTTTGAAGTCAGGTAGCGTGATGCTTCCAGCTTTGTTCTTTTGACTTAGGATTGTCTTGGCAATGCGGGCTCTTTTTTGGTTCCATATGAACTTTAAAGCAGTTCTTTCCAATTCTGTGAAGAAACTCATTGGTAGCTTGATGGGGATGGCATTGAATCTATAAATTACCTTGGGCAGTATGGCCATTTTCACGATATTGATTCTTCCTATCCATGAGCATGGTATGTTCTTCCATTTGTTTGTGTCCTCTTTGATTTCACTGAGCAGTGGTTTGTAGTTCTCCTTGAAGAGGTCCTTTACATCCCTAGTAAGTTGGATTCCTAGGTATTTCATTCTCTTTGAAGCAATTGTGAATGGAAGTTCATTCATGATTTGGCTCTCTGTTTGTCTGTTACTGGTGTATAAGAATGCTTGTGATTTTTGCACATTAATTTTGTATCCTGAGACTTTGCTGAAGTTTCTTATCAGCTGAAGGAGATTCTGGGCTGCGCGACAATGGGGTTTTCTAAATATACAATCATGTCATCTGCAAAGAGGGACAATTTGACTTCTTCTTTTCCTAACTGAATATCCTTTATTTCTTTCTCTTGCCTGATTGCCCTAGCCAGAACTTCCAACACTATGTTGAATAGGAGTGGTGAGAGAGGGCATCCCTGTCTTGTGCCAGTTTTCAAAGGGAATTTTTCCAGTTTTTGCCCATTCAGTATGATATTGACTGTGGGTTTGTCACAAATAGCTCTTATTATTTTGAGGTACGTTCCATCAATACCGAATTTATTGAGCATTTTTAGCATGAAGGGCTGTTGAATTTTGTCAAAGGCCTTTTCTGCATCTATTGAGATAATCATGTGGTTTTTGTCTTTGGTTCTGTTTATATGCTGGATTATGTTTATTGATTTGCGTATGTTAAACCAGCCTTGCATCCCAGGGATGAAGCCCACTTGATCATGGTGGATAAGCTTTTTGATGTGCTGCTGGATCCGGTTTGCCAGTATTTTATTGAGGATTTTTGCATCGATGTTCATCAGGGATATTGGTCTAAAATTCTCTTCTTTTGTTGTGTCTCTGCCAGGCTTTGGTATCAGGATGATGTTGGCCTCATAAAATGAGTTAGGGAGGATTCCCTCTTTTTCTGTTGATTGGAATAGTTTCAGAAGGAATGGTACCAGCTCCTCCTTGTAACTCTGGTAGAATTCAGCTGTGAATCCATCTGGTCCTGGACGTTTTTTGGTTGGTAGGCTATTAATTATTGCCTCAATTTCAGAGCCTGCTATTGGTCTATTCAGGAATTCAGCTTCTTCCTGGTTTAGTCTTGGGAGAGTGTAAGTGTCCAGCATGGTACTGGTACCAAAACAGAGATAAAGACCAATAGAACAGAACAGAGCCCTCAGAAATAATACCACACATTTACAGCCATCTGATCTTTGACAAACCTCAGAAAAACAAGAAATGGGGAAAGGATTCCCTATTTAATAAATGGTGCTGGGAAAATTGGCCAGCCTTAAGTAGAAAGCTGAAACTGGATCCTTTCCTTACTCCTTATACGAAAATTAATTCAAGATGGATTAGAGACTTAAATGTTAGACCTAATACCATAAAAGCCCTAGAAGAAAACCTGGGTAATACCATTCAGGACATAGGCACCGGCAAGGTCTTCATGTCTAAAACACCAAAAGCAACGGCAACAAAAGCCAAAATTGACAAATGGGATCTAATTAAACTAAAGAGCTTCTGCACAGCAAAAGAAACTACCATCAGAGTGAACAGGCAACCTACAGAATGGGAGAAAATTTTTGCAATCTACTCATCTGACAAAGGGGTAATATCCAGAACCTACAAAGAACCCAAACAAATTTACAAGAAAAAAACAAACAACCCCATCAAAAAGTGGGCAAAGAATATGAACAGACATTTCTCAAAAGAAGACATTCATACAGCCAACAGGCACATGAAAAAATGCTCATCATCACTGGCCATCAGAGAAATGCAAATCAAAACCACTATGAGATACCATCTCACACCAGTTAGAATGGCAGTCATTAAAAAGTCAGGAAACAAAAGGTGCTGGAGAGGACGTGGAGAAATAGGAACACTTTTACACTGTTGGTGGGATTGTAAACTAGTTCAACCATTATGCAAAACAGTATGGTGATTCCTCAAGGATCTAGAACTGGAAGTACCGTATGACCCAGCCATCCCATTACTGGGTATATACCCAAAGGATTATAAATCATGCTGCTATAAAGACACATGCACATGTATGTTTATTGCAGCACTATTCACAATAGCAAAGACTTGGAATCAACCCAGATGTCCATCAGTGACAGACTGGATTAAGAAAATGTGGCACATATACACCATGGAATACTATGCAGCCATAAAAAAGGATGAGTTTGTGTCCTTTGTAGGGACATGGATGCAGCTGGAAACCATCATTCTCAGCAAACTATCGCAAGAACAGAAAACCAAACACCGCATGTTCTTACTCATAGGTGGGAACTGAACAATGAGATCACTTGAACTCGGGAAGGGGAACATCATACACCGGGGCCTGTCATGGGGAGGGGGGAGGGGGGAGGGATTGCACTGGGAGTTATACCTGATGTAAATGACGAGTTGATGGGCGCAGCACGCCAACATGGCACAAGTATACATATGTAACAAACCTGCACGTTATGCACATGTACCCTAGAACTTAAAGTATAATAATAAAAAATTTAAAAAAATAAAAAAATAAAAAAAGAAAGGCTGGGTTGGGTGGATCATCTGAGGTCAGGAGTTTGAGACAAGCCTGACCAATATGATGAAACCCCGTCTCCACTAAAAATACAAAAATTGGCCAGATGTGGTGGCATGTGCCTGTAGTCCCAGCTACTCTGGAGGCTGAGGCAAGAGAATTGCTCGAACCCGGGAGGTGGACGTTGCAATGAGCTGAGATCGTGCAATTGAACTCCAGCCTGGGTGACAGAGTGAGACTCCATCTCAAATATATATATATATATACACACACACACACACATATTTTTATATATATATATATATGTGGTTCTGAATTTACTTAATAGATGTTATTAAAACTGTCATCAGTTGACTCTAGGTTAGGTAGATTGTCAATGATAAAATGAGTGGACCAGATTCCATTGGAGCAGAACTGGATAAAATTAAATTCCATGGAATTAAATTCCATGGTAATTCGGCAGCTTCACCTGTCTCTGGGACTTCCAGCCTGCACTTATTTATAGATGATCTTATGGACATTGGATATTCCTAGACGTCTCCAAAGTCTGTCATCCTCTACGTCTCACAGAAATGTGGCATGTCCACCTGTAGCTTGTCAACCCTGAATAACAGACATAAAGAGATTTTAAAATGTGGTAACATTTATTCTAGGATGTGCATTGCAATGGAAATATGTATGGGTGCATTCAGGTTGGTAAAGGAAGATAAAGAATTAAGGAAAAATGAGGAGAGTTACATCAGCTGTTTTGAGACAATTATCCTGGGCTAGAAGGATCAATAACAGGGGTAACATCAGTGTAAGGTTGAACAAGCAGTTGTTGGGCAGATATACTTGGAGAAGTAATTCTTTTAAGGTTGTGATGGCTTTTGTGCAAGGTTGTGGCGGTGCAGAGTCTATGATAGTTCTTGTTATCAGGAACATGTGTGTTAGAACCCTCCTTCATGGCCTTCCCCAGATTCATTCGTTAGGGTTTTAACACAAGTGGCTCCATCTTGATTCTAATAAATTTCACAAGCTCTTTCTAACACTACTTCTGAAGCAGATGACTCTGACGGCTTGAACAGGGTTAATTCCACACATCCACATCCCATTTTGATAAAATAAGTTTATCCTCTTCACTATTATCAGCCAACTGCATTCGCAGATGAGTCTACACACAACACAGTGGAGAGTCCTGAGCAGATGGGGAGGGAGGGAAGTCCCGTCAGCCTTTCCCATGTGGCTGCAGGAGCCACAGCCTGAGCCCCACCTGAGCTCCAAGAAAATGCCTTGAGCCCTGGAGTGTAGACCACAGAGACCATCTGTTTCTTTTTCAGGAAGCAGGGAAAGCAAATAAAAAAGGGAGAACAAACACTCCAAAGAAAGAACATGGATAGGGAGGGAAGGAGCACCAGGTCAGTGCTGATGCTGATTGGATTTAGTGTCAGGAGAAGGGTCAGATGAGAAACGTGAGCTTCTACATGACACTGACCCTGGCCCAGCCTCTCTATTGACTGCTATCAGAGTCCTTAGCTAAAGACTGTTCTAGTCCAGGAATCTCCCTGAGGATTCTGTACTGGGCATGATTGGAGACGACTCACCAGGCACCCCTGAGCTTCCTCAGGACTCTGATCTTGGTGGCCATAGTTGAGGCCTTTTCATCTCAGTAAACGTCAATCTGCATTTGGTGCATGTGAGAATAGGTCCTCATATTAAAATACTTTTAAAAATATGTAGAGATGACATTAGGAAGCACAGAATTCTAAACTTAGAGAGGTTCACTGGAGAAACCGTGAGGAGAAGACGAGGTCCCACATCCTGACAGGAAATCAGCCTCTATAGCACCTGCCTTTGGGGTTGACTCTGATCAGTGGGTCCTGAGCAGCCCCTGCAGCTGATTTCCCCTGAACGTTTCTGCAGGGAGGTTTGTGTCTGGGCTCACACTGACCTCCCCTCACTGTGTGTCTCGCACAGTAATAGACAGCCGTGTCCTCGGCTCTCAGGCTGTTCATTTGCAGATACACTGTGTTCTTGGCATTGTCTCTGGAGATGGTGAATCGGCCCTTGACAGAGTCTGGGTACAATGTGGTACTACCACTACCACTGCTAATACTTGAGACCCACTCCAGCCCCTTCCCTGGAGCCTGGCGGACCCAGTCCATGTAGTGGTCACTGAAGCTGAATCCAGAGGCTACACAGGAGAGTCTCAGGGACCCCCCAGGCTGTACCAAGCCTCCCCCAGACTCCACCAGCTGCACCTCAGACTGGACACCTGCAAACAAGAAGAAACCCCGGTCAGAAACTTCTACATGAATCCACTGTTTATCTCACTTTTATCCACTCACACTCAATTTCAATAGTTCTCAATGAATTACCTTTTAAAATAGCAACAAGAAAAACCCAGCTCAGCCCAAACTCCATGATGCGTCCTCTGTGCTCCGTCCTGATCACCAAATGAAAACACCTGAAAATGCCAGGTCTAGGCTCCTCTCCCAGAGCTGCAGGGTCAGGGCTGGGCTGGTTTTCATCAGCAGAGGGAGGGCTCTATTTGCATGTCTCCTACTATATAGCAAGCTCTGGGGTGAGAGGCCTGAGGAGACAGTGGGGCTCAGAGCATGAGGAGTGTCCTGGGGGAGATTTGTGATATTGGTAGCATTTAGAAACTGTGGTTTCTTATTGAAAGTTTGTTCTGTGATAAAATATTAAAACCTATAAAACTTATAATTTTGTAATTTCTATTTTAAAACAGTGGTATTGAGATACAATCGATCTACATAAACTGTGTATATTAAGTTAGCACCAATCATCTTTTATTTTTACATATGCAGAGGATACATGGTATGTGGTATCAATGTCATTTCCATGTTACAGATGAGAAATTCCTAGCAAAAGCACAGATGGGTTGTGCAATGTCCCCAGTGCTCACATTTGGTCAGAGTGAGCCTGGGTATCTGGACCTGTGCTTCTCACCACTGGACCTGACTGCTCCCTGAACCAAGCCCAGCACACAGGGGTCGCAGCTAGTGAGGTTTTCAGAACCTCTTCTCTGTAATGAGAACACGGTGTGATGTGTATGCACTGTTGTGATTACCTAACAATTGTAAAGAAAAGCACATTTCCTACAGTTTTATTTTCTTGGGTGTCACGCATTTTCTCATGTTAATGTCTATCTTTCTATCAATCTTTATTGAAAAAATTATCCACTTATTTGCAATACTCGTATTGAGGCATTATTGCTGTGCAATAAATGTTGCTTAATTAAAGTGTGCATTTTAATAAGCTCTGAAGTCGAGCATGGTCTTACATACCAGTATTCCCAGCTATGTACGGCAGCAGAAGGAGGGTTGGTGGAGACCCAGGGTCTGAGGCTGCAGAGAGCTATGATCTCACCACTGAGATCTAGCTCGGATGACAAAGCAAGATCATGTCTCCAAAGGAAAAAAATGCAATTTCACATGTGCTCACCTGTGCTTCCCAAATAACAATCAAGGTAACGATGAATTACACTTAAAAGTTTCCCTGGCTTCCTCCAATTCCTGCCTCCCAGTCATTTTCTCTCACCATACTGAGTCAGTCCCTCAACGTTTGTTGCTTCAGATCTATTTTTCAAGATTTGGTTAAAGAGAAATCTTACAGTTTCTATTTCATTTGTGTGGCTTCTTGCTCAGCATAATACTTGAGAGTCAGTAATTTGGTTGTGTATGAGGAATGTGTTCGTTGTAATGAAGAACAGAATTCCAGTTAATGAGTGTGCCCCTGCTATTTACACAGCTCCTTAACATTTTTGTTATTTCCAGTTTCTGAGTGTTACAAATAAAGCTTCTACTCAGCCTGGAGATGCAGGCATCCAAGAGAAAAAAAAAATATTATTTTTACAACTAACCTTACTGAGCTGCAAATTAGCACATTTTCTTTAAAACATCAGATTATTGATGTTATAGGACAAACAAGGGACCTTACATCTTGTGAAACTCAGTGACCTGCAGGAACAAACAGGAAGAGAATATGACCTTATCTGAGGCAGAGGCCAGCAAATGTCATGTAAGTGAATGCAGGATTAAATTACACATATTCTTCAGATTGTTTAGAGTTGAGTATAGTAAAGAAGTTATTGTTTAAATTATCAGAGGACATACAACTGAGGATTCCTACTGCTATTGAAACCTTTTCTGCCAGGACTGAGGAGACATCACAAAAATCTCCAGCCTCTCCCTCCCAAGATGTTTCTGTGTGGGAAAGCGGAACAGCGGCTGTGGCTGAAATGCATCCAGACCCACCTCCCCTGCCACCACGACATTACCAAAGAATTAACATACTGGGGCAAAGCCACTAACACCTCCGTGTTACAGGCACTGGAGGAACTCATAGAAACTGGGATGGAAGGAAGGAAAGCTCCGAAGCTCTGTCCATTCTCTTAGGAATAACAGTCTCATATCCCATCTCCTCTTTCTTCCCTCTGGAAAAACAGCCTCATCCTGCTGGGAAGGGCAGAAAAGAGGAAGCTTAAGACATCAGTGGGAAGACATAGTGGCTGCTGGAGAAGATCTGGGAACAAACAAGAAGACCCTCTACCCAGGAATGGGAGGAAAATGCATGGATCAGCATCACACCCGCAGGAGGGGCAGGGATACTTGGAAGGACACCCTGAGTCAGGACTGTGATGTCTGCCTGGAGTGTGGCTCCCTCAGAAGGACAGAGGGTGTCTGTTCAGTGCAACCCCTCCCACCACATTGACAGTTGTCAGGTCCTTGTGGCTCTGGGATGACCACAGGGACCTGAAAGACAGAATCTTTCCAGATGACACAAGATTAAGGCCCAAAGCCAAGCAGGAAACAAAATTAAGATTTCACTGAATGAATCTGAGTGTCTGGTGGCTGCAGAGGAAACCCACAGCAATTCTGGCACCCACTGCAGTAAGGACTTTCAGATGTAGTCCTGAGTAGTTTCACAGTTTTCTACAGTAAAGGCACAGAAGAGATAGGGCATGATCATCTACAAAAAACTCATAAATTGTGATCATCTACAAAAATGCAGAAGTCATAAAGCAAATAATTAGCTGACATAAGGAATCTGATAGAAGTATCTTTGGAACGTAAATTTTGAAATAACTTGCATAAATACTTTGAAACATTTACACTTGATCCCATAGAAGGTCTCTGTGTAACTTCATAAGAAATTGCCAACATGTGCTTATTTTAATAACTAATGTTTGTTAATATCATGCTTGTGGATGTAACAAAGACCACAGAGTAGGTTCTGTTAGAACTATTAATAAAAAGCCAAATTCAAAATATTTAGAGAGATTTATTCTGAGCCAAATGTGAGGGCCATGCCCTGTGACACAGTCCCACAAGATCTTGAGAACATGTGCCCAAAGTGGCTTGATTGCAGCTTCAATTTAATAACATCAATTGATACATGTGAGATATGTGTTGACTTGGTCAATAAAGACAAAACTACTAGAAGTGAGGCAGTGTGGGAGGGGATTACAGCTTACAGGTGGATTCAAAGATTTTCTGATTGGCAATTGATTGAAAGACTTAAGTTTTTTATCTAAAGACCTGAAATCAGTATAACAAAGTGTCTGGGTTAAGATAATGGGTTTTGGAGAACAAGATTCTTATTACTGAAGGAGTCTCTTATGTGGCCACCCTTAGAGACAATAGATGACAAATATTTTCTATTAAGACCTTTAAAAGATGCTGGACTCTTAGCTGATCCCTTCAGGATAACAAAAGACCTGGAAAGGGAAGGAGATTCTCTGCAGAATGTAAATTTCTCTCACAAAAGATAACTGTGCAGGGCGATTTTAAAATATGTCATAGAAATACATTTTAGGGTAAAAGCCTTTGATTCATTTCAAGGCCTGCTCTCTGTCATATGATGCTATTCTTGAGTCAGGTTGGAATTTGGTATCTTACTTCTACAAAGAATCTGTTTTCTGAGCCTTGAGTTCTCTGTTTTCATGAAAATGCTGGCTAGTTGTGCTTGAATTCTAAAGGGAGGAGTGCATGATGAGGCATTTCTGATCCTCTGTTTCTAACATGACCTGAGCTAGTTTTTCAAGAGTCTCTGGAACTCCTTAGTGAAGAGAAAGGGTCCATCCAATCAGTTGGGGTGCTTAGAATTCTGCTTTTACTTCATAGGATGTATATGAGACTTCTCCTAGTCAGGGGTATGGGAAAAAAATTTACTGAGGCAATCACATTGAAGGTGAGACATGAAAGATGGTCTCAGATTCCTCCCTGCAATCCTTTTCTCCTGACAGTAGAAGAAGAAAACTTACCAGAAACAAATGTTAGCATTTCTTTTATGTTCAAAATCGTCACCCATTAGGAAAAGAGTTAAAGTTGGGAGACTTCCCTTTAGACACAAGTAGTCTAGCTGATATCTAAAGTCATTTACAAGCACAAAGATTCTGATTAGTTTACAGATTATGCAGAACATCCCATCTAATGGGAATCTGCACTTAGCTGGATCCCCATGCCTTGGTGTTTTTTTGGTTTTTTTTTTTAATGTTTAATTTATGTAGATACGTAATCGTTCAAAACCTTTTTATGCTACATGTTATATTTTGATAAAAGAATATTATGTGCAGTGATCAAATCTGGATAACTGGGATATCCTTCATCTCAATCATTGATTATTTCTTTGTGTTAAGCACATTCTAAATCTTCTCTTCCAGCTATTTTGAAATATACAATAAATTATTAACTGTAGTTGTCTATGTGCCATTTCAGCATTCCCACCATCAAGTGGTGAAAGTTCCTGTTTTATAACTTACTCATCACCATTTGGTATTGTCTATATTGTGTATTTTACATATTCTATTAGGCTAGTAGGATTTTTTCAATGTTAAATATACATGTACCTAATGAAAATCCAGTGGATCACTTTTTATATTTATTTTTAGATGCAGTTTCTGTTCAGGTCTTTGCCCATTTTAAATTTAAATTGTGTGGTTTTGTTGTTGTTCAATTGTAAGGTAATTTGTATATTTATGATAAAAGTCCTTTTCCAAATATTTGATTTGGAAGCAAATTCTCCAGATCTATGTCTTATCTTTTCACTCTCAGGTAAGGGTTTATTTTCAAAGGCCTAGGTTAGTTTATCCATCTATGAAAAGAGGATAATTGGCCGGGTGCAGTGGCTCAAGCCTGTAATCCCAGCATACACGGGAAGATCACCTGAGGTCAGGAGTTAGAGACCAGCCTGGCCAACATGATGAATGCCTGTCTCTACTAAAAATACAAAAATTAGCCGGGTATGGTGGTGGGTGCCTATAATCTCAGCTACTTCGAGGGCTGAGGCAGGAGAATTGCCAACCCAGGAGGCAGAGGTTGCAGTGAGCCGATATCACACCATTGCACTGCAGACTGGGAGGAAACAGTGAGACTCCATCTTAAAAAAAAAAAAAAGAGAGAAAAGAGGATAATTGTAATTCTAAATTCTTGGAATTATTAGAATAATAATGTAGCTTGAAATTATTCCAGTATCTTGAATATGTGTCAGTTTTGGTATAACACCGGTGAGAAAAATTTGTAGAGTGTTCTGTGTAGACCAGAAATCAGAAGGTGATAAAGGAACAATTAGATTTGAATAATCCAGAGAGATGAAGTGTATATGATATTCATCTCCTTTTGTTCTCTAGGAAGAGAAAATGGATAGATGACATCTCCTTGTGAAATTGGACAAAATGGTTTTAAGATACTTATGAAAGAAAGTTGCAAATACAATCTCTCAGGTGATGATCTGACACAGGGCTGTGGAGGGGATGGTGGCCGCCGGTGGTTGCTGTCAGTCACATGGTTGATTGGTTTGCCCACTGTTTTGTCCATGAGAGATATTAGACTGTGATGTACTACATGCAGGCGAGTTTCTTAATCTCAGAGGAGGAGAGAAACACGAGAAAACAGAAGACGGGAAAATTGAAGATCTCCCTACAGCAAGCACATTCCATGGAGGAGCGCTTGTCACTGAGAGACCCAGGGATATGCAGGGAGTGGAGAGGAGTTTGGGGGATATTATTCATGAAAGGACTGATCCAACCTCGTCGACGTCCCCATGGAAGGAGGGGTTAAATATTTGTTCACAGATAATGGTGTGTTATGTCAGGATTCCCACAGGTTTCAGATATAGTTTCTAATAACAAGTGTCATACTTTGTTTAGAACTGATTTTTCTTGTATTTTCCCCCTCTAGGCAGCACCACAGAAGAATGTTCTCAGAATCCTTCCTGATCCTCTATGAGTTCCTGGTGCAGCTCCTGGAGAATAAGCTTGCATGGGGAGGGAACCCTCCTCATGTGCAGCCGTGAGGCTGTCCCGTCACCTCACCCACCAGTGTCCTTCAGTCACTTCCTGAACAGTTATGAGTTAACCTTCCTGAAACATGTGGTATTTGGCAGTGTCTTTCCCAGGTAAGAAAATACTTCCGTTCTGTTTATTCCTGCAGGTCCCTGTCCCTTTCTGGAGCACGGGCTGCCGTTGAGTGTGTGGTGGTGGATAACTGGTGGGAGGAGGTTTGTGAGCATCTTGTCGCCTTCCCGAGTGCGCCCCTCATGGGGTTGACACTGACAAGCGCGCGATGGGCTTGCTCAGCTGGAGGATGACAGGTACTTTTGTAACCTGTGACCCCAGGGAGGCTCTCCCGCTGCAAGACCAATGAGACTCAGGCCTCTGGCTAAAGTGCAGCCAGCAAAGGATACAGTGCCCAACCCTGAGAGCTCCTTCCAGGTGCCCAACCACTTTGTAAAGGAAGCTGTTGTTCCTGCCTGGATCCCATGCATGTGTTTGCATTTTCTGCACAAAGTGCTTTATCCAGAAACACTCCCCAAGAGCTTATAGTGTTTTGAATCCAACTGAAGGGCATTATTTACGAAGTCCCTCACGAGGAGTCTCCACTGCTCGTTAAATGACATTAATTATAGGATTCACCAGAAGCTGCTGGCCTTTTAGTTGCACAGACCTGCCTCTACTCCAGCAGTCCCAATCTTTTTGGCACCAGGGAATGATTTTGTGGATGACAATTTTTCCATGGATAATGGAGGCAGGTAGTTACGGAATGAACCTGCTCCACCTGCAGTCATCAGACACTGGATTCCCATAGACAGCGTGCAACCTAGATCCCTCACATGCACAGTTCACACTAGAATTCGGCTCCTAGGATAATCTAATGCGCAGCTGATCTGACAGGAGGCAGAGCTCAGGCAGTAATGCTCACCCACCGCTCACCTCCTGCTGTGTGAACTGCCTTCTCTCAGGCTGCTGACCAGTACTGGTTCACTGCCTAGGGGCTGGGGACCCCTGCTGTAAATGCCTGCAGGCCTTATCCTCTTGGTAGGGGCATAGAAAACCAGGAGTCAGATAAGCTCTAAATCAATCTACATTTTATGGATTCTTGAGGAAACAGTGAAAGGAGGAATGTCCCCACTCACTTTCCCTCTACCTGGCATCATTTCATGTAATGCACTAGAAGAACCCGGGGTGCTTCAAGATAGCTTAGGCTTGTTACACCAGGGACCACCAGAAAAGGAGACAATTAATGTGTCCATGTGGGTTCATCTGTTGCAAGTTATTTATTACTTCAGTGCAGGGTGTTGATCACAGAGAAGGCTGTGCATGTCTTGGGCGGGAGTATGTGGGAACTGTGTTTATTCTACTCAAATTTGCTGTAATCCTAAAAATGTTTTAAAATAAATTTAATGTAAATGGGACTGCCAAAGACATTTTGGTAGAAATGTCGGCCACTTTTTAGAAATTATGTTTAGTCTTACCATGTGATCAAGCAATCCTGCTCCAAATGATTTATCCATTCGATTTTAAAATTTATGTCCTCACAAAGGAATGTTTGCATCAGCCTGATTGATGGCTGCCTTTCCCACTCTGTGAATGTTACTTATAGGGTGAAAGTTGAAAAGATTATTTCCTATATGATTGGAATGTATATATCTTTCTATTTCTACTTTTACTCAGTGACTTAACCCATCTTCTAAATAATTTAGACCTCATAAATCCTGTCATCTTTACAGCCCCATCACAGCTGCCTCCTCCCTCAGGGTTTCTGACACTCTCAGGATGTGGTTTTCACACTGTGTCTGTTGCACAGTAATACACGGCCGTGTCCTCAGATCTCAGGCTGCTCAGCTCCATGTAGGCTGTGTCTGTAGACGTGTCCCTGGTGATGGTGACTCTGTCCTGGAACTTCTGTGCGTGTATTGCTTCACCATCTTCAGGATCAACACGTCCCATCCACTCAAGCCCTTTTCCAGGAGCCTGTCGCACCCAGTGCAGGTAGTAGTCGGTGAAGGTGTATCCAGAAGCCTTGCAGGAGATTTTCACGGAGGCCCCAGGCTTCTTCACCTCAGCCCCAGACTGTACCAGCTGGACCTCGGAGTGGGCGCCTGTGGAGAGGACAGAGGAGTGAATGAGACACCACTTCACTGGACCCAGTCCCCTCATCAGCCCTGGAACTGAGGATTCTCTTACCTGTAGCTGCTGCCACCAAGAGGAGGATCCTCCAGGTCCAGTCCATGATGAGGTGCTGTGCTCTGGGGACTTCTGTAGGGGAGGGATGTGGTTGTTGTGTGATGCTCTCTGGGCAAGGACAGATCTGTATTTACTTCGGTAGACACCAGTGCATTTGCATATTCATGAGGCAGGTATTTCATAACTCAAGCCACCCCATCCTGGGGAAGAAGATAGGTGACACACGGCCCACTCCACAGTGGGATGCTGAGCTCCATGACCTGAACTTGTTTAATGATATTTGTCATCTGACATGCTTAGAAGTCCATGAAGACAGAACTCCTCTTACAGAAAACCAGAATCTCACAGGACATTGTCCTCAATGTGATTCCTTTTTCACATGGCACACTGACAACCTGAACTTTCCTGGGCCTTGCCCTCTGCACATCTAACTTCTGGGATGAGTGTGTCTCCCGATAGTAACACCCATTGAATTAATAAAAGCACCCCTCAATTCCTAACGATAAATACATTTGAAAGGCCTAGACATTTCTTCTTTTAAATATGGTTTGCATTAGGTAAAGGCTGTGTATGCAAGAGAATACTAAAGACACATCAGTACTTGCTAAATTCTTATTTAAATTTTATGTCATTATTGCTTTGAAATAAGGAATATTCAATCCCTGAGAGAAAACTCCTCCCCAACCTCCTGTGCACCTGCCCCAGAGCTGGATCCTGTGCTGGGTGCATCCTGAGCACCCTCTGCAGCTCACCTAATGCCCTGCAGGGAAGTTCCTTTCTGGGCTCACAGAGCATTTTTCTCCCAATGTCTCAAGCTCAATGTGACGTGACTGTGCCCTGGCTCTGAATGCTCCTTCAGGGACAGCAACTACTTCTCACACCACTTCCTACAATAGAAAATAGACCTTAGGAAACCTAACAAAGCCTACAGGGAGACCTCGGCACAGCAAGCAAGGAATGACTAAAGCCACCAGGGAACCCCTTCCCTGGAGCTCCAGATGCACTGATACAGTCCAGACACACGTTGAGTCCAGGAACTGATGGGGACTTTGGGGCAGACCTTTTTTTTTTTTTTTTGGATTCTGTGGTCGAAGTTCACATCAGATTATAATTTTACGCACAAACCCTGTGTCTCAAGGTCCACCCCACAACACACACACACTCACAGTGGCATATTTGCGCAGTAACAAGCCTCAGATTTGCCCTCCTTCCTAGTATCTTGTCAATGAAAAGTGCTTCCAGCACTGGCCCCAGTCCTGGTTATGTTTGTGGTTGTTGTTTTTGTTGCTTTGTTTTTCCAGACAGAACTAAAGTAAGCTCAGTAACGCTGGAGATTCAGAAGGTGCCTTCACGTTGTCTTGGCTAGTTCTCACCTGAGAACCCTGCAGATGTCCCGTGAGAGGTATATCTAAGGTCACTGAGGGAGGGGTACTGACCTTGTTCCCGAAGGTGTTGGTCTCAGAGGCTTTAAATCACTTTACTGTCCTTGACTTTTTCTCTCCCTCTGCCTTTGGTTTCCCTTAGTTCTAGTCCTTAGACAGAGTCTGTATGTTGCCACACTTTTCTCTTTAATCCAGATTAATCCTGTTGGTGAGGAGGTGATGTGGTGGGCAGGGGAGCAGTATATATTCTTGAAATTGAATTCCAGTGTTTTCTTGCTGTTCTTTCTCTGTGCTGCTCCCCTTACAAGGAGTCTCCAGTGATACAGCTGATTTTCCTCTATCCTCCGCTCCCCCTCCTGACTGAAGCATCCACAGATTATTCTCTTGAATCTGACCCCAGTTGTTTTATTAATTATACCCCTTTTCATGACACAGGAAGGCTAAGGTGAAGCTGTCTTGGATGGAAAATAATCCCTTCCCCTCATATAGAATAAAGATCTTGAAAAGTATTTTTTATCTGTAGGATCTGTCTGGAGAAAATTCTGGGGTATTTATCAGAGTATAGCTCTCCTGATGACAGAGCCATGAGGGAATCTGTTTGGATTCTCATCTTGAAAATCCAGAAGTTTCTGGAGGGAAATTCCGTCAAAGTGTGGGGTGTGCAGCCTCCCAGGAGATCTTACCCTTTCCCTGTCCACAGCTTCCTCCAGGCATTTATGGAATTACCATCTAACTGTTCCCACCAGCTTGTGCTGTCAACTGAAGAATCAACCAATTTATCAATTTAGAAAAGAGACTTTATTTCTGAGAAAGGGTTGAAGCTGCAGGATGGTCCCCTTAATGGGCTGGGAAGCAAAGCCTCCCACAGAGACTGTGAGCAGACACTTCAAGGGAGGGAAAGATGAGAAATGAATTCATGCGAATGGATTGGCCAAGTGTACACGCTCAGCAGGCTATAGAAGGAGCTGTGGATATTCATATCGTGGGGAGGCGCTCATATCTAATAAGGAAACACACATGTTATCTGCATTTCAGGTGCACTTTGGGGTGAGCACTTAAGAACTGAGTGAATTACAGTCGGGCCCGGTACATCAAAAGGGCTTTGTACAGGGTCAGAAAGACACACAGTACACAGCCTTTGTGATCTGGCCAGGACAATCCATGGTCAGTGATCTCTTATCAGGAGAAAGTTACTGAAATCAGTCTCTTCTCCAATCAAAGCTCTATTTATGGCTTGTGGAACGAGTGCACAGTTATGCAGTGTCTGGAGTTCCATGAGCTGCAAATGTTTTAATATTGATTATCTCAGTACCAGTACTTGTTTAGCTGTTAAAAAGCCCTGTGGAAGTTACAACATAATCTATGTTTTAAGTGTAGGGGTGAGTGACTTAATCCTTGCCTGGCGTATAATTAGGTCTCATTTGTTGTTTGGTATCTTATTGCCACAGAAAGTTTGTTCCATCAGTCTGATGATCTCTATTTCAACGTCTTTGTAGTTTTGGGGTCCTGGTTTCCCTGCAATTTCACTTATTCAGCAGATCCAAGAAATCATTGATAATCAATTTTCCACGCTTATATTCTTGTAAGAATGTGGGTGATGACTGACATGCTCTTTACATATTAAAGCAGAAACTAGAAGTAGCTTCAGAGATCACCAGTGACCTGACACAAGCAGCAGGAGTCTCGTCTCATGAAGTATAAGTGGCACCACACAGATGTTGCTGAGCATGCAGGGACACAGAAGACATAGTGCAGGACACATATGAGATGATTTTATGATTCTGGGGCTCCGTCCAGGAAGTGGGAATTCAGATGGTCCTAGAGGGATGGACTCTTATCTCTCAGGTGACACTGTGTTTTGGAAACTTATTTCCACTCCTGCACTGGATTCAGTAGCTGCACCTGGACCTGCACACCTGAAACAGAAACTCTCATTAATTAAGCACAAGACTCAACAATAATAAAGCTGTCTCCAGGGAAGGTGCAGAGCAGGGTCCTCTGCTTTTGGGAACTTACAGCTGTGCAGGGAGGGTCAGGAGTGTGAACCATTTCCTTCCACTCTCCCTGCCTGCTTCACAGACAACTGCAAGCAGGAGCTTTACATTGCTATGTATGTAAAATATGTGATCATTCTAGGGAAATGTAATACACAGATGAAGGAATGAGGAACCTATGTGAAATTAAAATAAAACTAATACATAAAATAAATATAAAGCACTATAAGACATTATAATGTAAAAGACAACAAACAAATACTAAAAACCTGTGTGTATATGTGTGTGAGACAGTATTCTTGTAAATTAAATCATAATTTGCTTATAAAGTCTTTCCCAAGTAGGTACAGAATCTTTGTCTTTGATTCCCACAAAGATGAAGAAGGATCCGGCACCAGGACTCCAGGGTCATGCTAGTGATTTCCCCTCCTGTCTCCTGAGGACACATTGCTTCCAACTCTGAGGATCAGGATGCTGACATTGACATGAGAAGAGAAAGTTGGATTTTCTGTGGGACAGACTGGTGTGAACATAATTTTCAAGCAAATAAGTTTATTCTACCATGAGACACACTGCCATCATGCTGACTGTGTGTGTTGCTTTTGACATGAACATTATTGTTATTAGCAATATTATTGGGTTCCCTGGAAAATGATCAATTATCACAGAACGAACTTGAGTAGTTTTCATTTTAGTTTTTTCACACTTCCAGCTACATCCACTGAGTGTTTGAGCCTGGACATTTCAGGTCATTGGTTACAAATGATGGAGTGGACGTTTTCCTAGGAATTAGATGTGGTTCTGCTAAAGGATGACCAAGGATTTGGCCAGAAACTCCCTTCCTCATCTATCCCAGCACCTGCTCCTCAGTGCACCCCTTCCTGTCTGAGTCCTGAGCATCTGTGTTCCTGGACAATGCATGTCTGGGACATCTGCTTCCTAGATGTGCATCTACAGGGCAGGCTGCTATCCCTAATTGTCGAGAGGGATCTGGGCCTGGATCCACCCAGGTGGCCCCACCCTGAGAACTGGGCTTCCTCCGAGCAAGGAGACAGGGTCAATTGAGTGCATCCACTTTACAGAAATTATAGGAGGCAAATTCCGTCAAATCTTAATATGGTTTTGACATGCAATCCAGCAGTCATGCTTCTAGGTATTTCTCTATCTGACTTTAAATGTATGACCAAAAAGTACACATGAATAATCACAATAAGCTCATTCATATTTATCAAAACTAGCAACACTCAAGAAGTTCTATAGGTGAGTAGATAATCAGTGGTAAATTCATAGAATAGTATTCAACAATTATAAACAAGAGCTATCAAACCATGAATATACATAAATGAATTTAAAATGAATTTTTTTTTTTTTTTTGAGACGGAGTCTCACTCTGTCACCCAGGCTGGAGTGCAGTGGCTGGATTTCAACTCACTGCAAGCTCCGCCTCCCGGGTTTACGCCATTCTCCTGCCTCAGCCTCCCGAGTAGCGGGGACTACAGGCGCCCGACACCATGCCCGGCTAGTTTTTTGTATTTTTTTAGTAGAGACGGGGTTTCACCGTGTTAGCCCAGATGGTCTTGATCTCCTGACCTCGTGATCCGCCCGACTTGGCCTCCCAAAGTGCTGGAATTACGGGCTTGAGCCACCGCGCCTGGCCTAAAATGCATATT